TTAAAGTATTAATAAAAATAGCTAACGTTACTATGATTGTTCAAAGCTCATATAATAAGGGTCATTTTAAGAGTTTTATTTTAACTATAAATAACTATTTGATGGGTTGGTATACCTATTCTAGCTATTTTAATTATTTTAGAATTTTAAGCATAATCTTGAGATTTTGAATTTGAAATATAGAAATATTTATTTTTATTTATTTTAATTAATAAACCAAACTAAAATTGATAATAATTAATAATAGAAATAAGTCAGCCTACCTATAGGTACGTATTATAACATGTTTAAGTTAATTTTTAGTATTGTAATATTGTAAACAAAACTTGAATGTTTTACAAACTGTAGACATTAGGATAAATGTGTTTTTAAATTAGAGTACTTTTGTAAAATTTAATTTAACCCAGCAATGTTATGATAGAATTAATTATACTGGAATGAACGCAAAAAACATAATAATATAAAAGTATTTTTTAAAAATGAACATAACTCTCATAAAACTATTCACATTACAATTTTTTAAAGGCTTTTATAAATGATATAAATTTAATTAAGTAAATAATTGGCCACATATTTGTCACTATAGTCGGTACCGGTGCTCGAGTTTAACCCAATCGGCGCTTAATTCCCACAACTGTTGGGCACTCCTATCGTCCGTCGCGTTCGCAAACATGTCGTCCACTCGTAAGCAATTGCTTCACAAAAAAAAATATAAAATAAAAATTAATTTTAAAAATTCATAACAAAAACAAAATACGCACTCATAATAACATCCCGACTCCCTGTCCAACGACTCATCCACAGCACAATACAGGGTAGTCTGACAGCCCTTATCCACATTAATAGCAATGATTTTCATCATAATATGTATCATAAACCTCTTGACAGCCCCCATATTACGAGCCGCTTCAGTACGAACAGCGCCGGGGTGTACGGCATAGACATTGATATTTGTGTCGGGCCCTAAACGTTTAGCTAGTTCCCTGGTGAATAATATGTTAGCCAGCTTACTTTGGGCGTATGCCTTTTGGGGATCATAGGCACCGTTACGTAGGTTTATATTCTCGAAGTGAATGCTTCCGATTATATGGGCAATGGATGACACGTTTACTACCCGTGCTTTCGGCGAGTTTCGTAGCAGTGGTAGTAATAATAAGGTTAGGAGGTAGTGACCTAGGATGATTTAATATATTATAGTAATTCATTAATTTTATTTCATAATAATATAATCCATAAAAATAACTATGCAATGTTATTTTCAATATTTTAAAAATTATTGTTGAAGGGTTGCCAATTTTTTTATTACCTTGCCAATTTTCTAATACCCTTTGTATTAGAAATATATTTATTTAAATAATTTACAGTTTGTAACTTAATTATATCAATACAAAAACATATAATATTATTGTGCTACTAATGTCATATTTAAAATTCAACTTATTTATTACTGATATAATAAATATATAATATTTTCATCTAGCATATTAAATATGGTAATCTTGGTAATTGTTACTTGTATCACTTGTATTGACTCGTATATTCAATATTTTTTCAAAATAAATTAAATGCATAATTTTTAATTCATATTAATAATAATATACAGCCTCAATTTATCTGGATCTATTTGACATTTACATAGTGCTTAATCTTTAATTTATTATAGTTTTCAATACTATATAGATACTATATAACTATGGCTATAGTACAGTATACGTAATTAGTAATTGAGTACCAAATTAATGTAATATAAAAATTTATAAATTACCAAGGTGATTGGTACCGAAGCCCATCTCAAATCCATCCATTGTTTGCCATTCAGGTGTGAAAGCAATGCCGGCGTTATTGATGAGTACATCGATTTTGGTCTCATTTCGCACGACTTGTTCACAGAATTGTCGCACAGATTGTAGTGAAGATAAGTCCAGTTTATGGCATATTATGTCCGCCTTTGAGTTTCGCCGCTTTATATCATTCATAGCATTTTCAGCCCTTTTCTCGTC